AAAAAAAAAAAAAAGAACAAGAGATGCTTCTATCACTCAGGAAATTCCAAGGGATTTAGGAACTCTGTCGCAGATGACGTCCAAGACCAAATATTAGAACAAAAGATGCCTCTAGTACTCTTTTCGCTTAGGGAATTACAAGGATTTTAGGAGCCTTGTGTCAGAAACTAGGGGCAGAGACCAATGTATATTTCTTATTCTTTCATAAAAGTTTAACATCATAGATACACTTAAGAGATAATTAGTGAACTGGAATATTCATTTAAAAAAAAAACAAAAAATGAAGCAGACACACAAAGACATAGAAAATATAAAGGAGAGTTAATAGAGAATGAGGATAGAGTGAGGTCTATACACAGTTTTTGGAAGCAATTATAGAGAATCAGAGAAGCAATGGGAAGATCTCAGGACTGAGAAAAGTTCAGAACCGACTAAACAGCCTACAACACAGACTTAGCAAGCAAGCAAAACCAAGCAGAAAATCCATATCTAGACTCATCAGACTGAAACTACAGAACACCAGTTGCAAAAGTCAGATTATGAAAACAACCAGAAAGAGAAGACTCATTACCATCTAAAGAAAGACAAAATTTAGTGAAATAAAAACAATACAAGCCAGGAAAATGTTGTGATAAATATATATTTGGTCTTTCCCTGGTTCCTGGCACAGTTTCTAAATCTGTTGGAATCTCTAGAGTGATGAGTGTCTTCTGCATCCTAACATGATGATGACTAATCGCTGGAGGCCCATGCATAGCTTCAGGATAGGAGACCTGAAAGACTCCCAACATCCAGGGAAGGAAGAGGGACTGGAGGTTGAATTCAATCACCAACGGCCAGTGATTTAATCAATTGTGCCTATATAAGAAAACCATCATAAAACCCCTAAACAACAGATTTGGAGAGCTTCCAGGTTGGTGAACACACTGAGGTGCTGACAGGGTGGTTCTCTGAGGGAGGACCTCCTCACCCCTTCTCCCATACCTGGCCCTGTGCATCTCTTCCATTTGGCTATTCCTGAGTTGTAGCCTTTATAGTAAATCAGTAAATGTACGGAAAGTGCTTTCCTGAGTTCTGTGAATTGTTCTAGCATATTACCAAACCTGAAAGGGGGGTTGTGGGAACCCTCAAATTTACAGCTTGTCACCCCAAATATAGGTGACAACCTGGGACTTTTGGCTGGCACCTAAAGTGGGGGCAGTCTCATGGAACCAAGCCTTTGGCCTGTGGGATCTGATGCTAACTCCAGGTTGTGAGTGTCAGAATTAAGTTGAATTGTAGGACACCTCGGTGGTGTCCACAGAGTTGCAGAATTAGTAGGTGTGAGGAAAATATACACATTTGGTGTCAGAAGTTCTGTGAATAAAAACAGTTCAGGAGCGTGGAACATCTTCAGTGTACTGTCCTGTGGTCATATAGCTTATGCCCAAATGCCACCAGGCAATGAGCTGAGACCTGCTTGTCAATGGAATTGCCCTATCAGGGAAAAACTGATGGGATAATCTATCTCTCATCATTGCAGAGATCACAAAGAGAAGAGAACAGACTTAGTAGAGGCTGCAAATTCTTAACACTGTTGATCTTATCACATTCTGATTATTTTATGTGAGATGGAGATCCACTTCGAAAATGAAAACTTAGGTTCCTACCTAATTTCACACTCGAAAATAACTTTTTCCTGTTTAAAGTCAACCATAAAACAAAGGAACCTGTAATGTTCATGTCACAAGCCAAAATCCACAGGAGAAAATAAGTAATAAAATTTGTGAGAGGAAAAAATTAAAACATCTGTATTGAAAAAGATACCATGGACAAAGTGAAAAGTGACAAGCTGGGAGATATTTTTTTATAAACAAAATAAAGGACCAATATATAGTGGATATAAACAACTCTATCAGTAAGAAAAAAATGCTTTTTTTTATGTAAAAGGCATTTCAAAAGAGAAAAAATCCAACTGGCCAACAAATAAATAAGGATTCCAATCTCAAAATAAGGCAAAAGAATATTGGACCATTTGGATTGTTGAAAATTATGCAATCTCAGGGCGCCTGGGTGGCTCATTCAGCTAAGTGTCTGCCTTCAGCTCAGGTCATGATCTTAGGGTCCTGGGATCAAGCCCCATATTGGGCTCTCTGCTCAGCAGGGAGTCCGCTTCTCCCCCTCACGCTCCCTCTCTCTTTCTCAAATAAGTAAATAAAATCTTTCTTTAAAAAAAAGAAAGAAAATTTAGCAATCTGATAATGTCCTATTATTAGCACTGGCAAAGATTTCAGGCATGGATGATCCACATATCACTTAGGAGGCACTCACTAAATGCTTTACATAGTTTAACTCATTTTGTTGAGTATGACTACAGACAAATGGAATTTTGTAGAGTTAACAGTCACCAATCATTTGCAGTTATTATTCCTTTAGATGCTTGAATTATGCCATCTTAAGCCAACAGATTATGTCCTTTGGAGTATGATTCCACTGATACACAAAATGTCATGATAGGTGTGTTTACAAACACAAATATACGTTAAGTCCAAATACATTTGTAAATGGGCACGTGTATACAGATGCACACACAGATTCACTGACAGCAAGAACACACCAAGCATCTGCTAAAGTGGTATGAGGGAATGAGGAAAGGGGACATGAAGAGGGAATTTACTTTTTGGCCCATGTGTACACCATCATGAGGATTTTTTTCCTTTAAAAGGTACTCATGAGGAAAAAAAAAAAAAAAAGGTATTCATGAGGGGCTCCTGGGTGGCTCAGTTGCTTGGGCGTCCAACTCTTGATTTCGGCTCAGGTCGTGATCTCAGGGTGGTGGGATCGAATCCTGTATCGGCTCCAGGCTCAGAGGTTATCTGCTTGGGATTCTCCCTCTCCCTCTGCCCTCCCCCAACTCGTGTTTTTTCTTTCTCTAAAATAAGTAAGTAAATAAATAAATCTTTTTTTAAAAAAAAAGGTACTCATGAGTCATTTATATAATTATAGGAACCAAAAGCAATAAAGGAAGAGTAGGTAAAAATTAGACCTTAAAATGGGAAAGGATTCTGCATTTTCTGAGATAACATGAAGTTATACAGCAAACACTCTAGAACCTTATAACTCAAGCTCTTACCAGACAAAATTTCTTGCAACTATCTAATGCCAAATCTGTAATTCAATGCCAGTTCAGCCACCTGTTTGTGAAGCCTCTCCTGCAAAAATTGTGTTCAATGACGGGGCGCCTGGGTGGCTCAGTCGTTAAGCGTCTGCCTTTGGCTCAGGTTGTGATCCCAGGGTCCTGGGATCGAGCCCCACATTGGGCTCCCTGCTCCGCGGGAAGCCTGCTTCTCCCTCTCCTACACCCCCTGCTTGTGTTCCCTCTCTCACTATGTCTCTCTCTGTCAAATAAATAAATAAAATCTTTAAAAAAAAAATTGTGTTCACTGAGTTTGCTTCGTCTATTCCCACAGGAGACTCTGAGGAAGTCTGCTGCAGCCTTTATTAGAAGGCTACTGCTCACAACTGTCCACCCCATCACCTCTAAGAAGAATATAAAATTTTTCTTGAGTCCTCAGTGCCAGAGAAACCTTTCTGCTTTCTCCTCATGGTCACTGCATATCACATAACATGATTCTCTTATGTTGGTTGTCACACATATTAGATGCAGTGTGACACTAATGTAAGCCAGAGGATCCTTCAGTTACATATGATGTTCCAACATTAGTCATTTACTAGGAATCATATGAACACTACATTCTTTTTTTTTTTTTAAGTAGGCTCCACGCCCAGTGTGGACCCCAATGTGGGGCTTGAACTCATGACCCTCAGATCAAGACCTGAGCTGCAATCAAGAGCCGGACACTTAACCAACAGAGCCACCCAGGCGCCCCTGAACCCTATATTCTTGATTCTACTTTGTGACGATGTTGCAGTTAGATTCAAACTTTCTTTCTCTCTAGATACTGAACTGATTTTTACAAGCCTCTACACATCCATTAGGGAACAAAGGAAAGAATAAAACAAGACAAAAATCACCTGGGCATTGATCATTTTCTTCTGTTTTGAGAAATGGCCAGCAACTGGGATATTCTGTCTTTGTCTCTTCTGGATATGCTCTAAATTTCTAGTTAGAAATCTAGTCACCACTCAAAAGTGGCCCAGATATGACACTATCTAGGTCCTGGGACCTCCTTTTTCTTCATTCATTTCTTGTCTCTTGTCAGGACCTGTGGGTCGAAGAACAAAATTACTTTCAATGTTACATTCTCTCTTGCTATGCACTCACCTTACCACACAGTCCCAGTATTTCTGTCTCTTTATTCGGTTCCCCAGAAATCATGCCTTAGGCATAAGATTCTGAATGTATAGAAATAACAAGCAAGGGGAAAGTGGCAAAGGAGAATCAGAACAGAACTATGCCTCAGTGGCAGGTAATTTTCAGATCAATTTTAGAAATGAGGCCATATGGACAGTGAGCAACAGTGAATTTTTCCTTTCAACTATCTTGCTCTATCTCTTTAAAAGTTTTTACACACCCTATCTACCTACATTTCAATAGGAGGAACAATGAGCACACCGAAATAAAGAGAAGGAATATGAGCAATGGATACAAATTTTTAAAAACACCTCAAAAATTTTTTTCTTAAATTTAAAACACCTCAAAAATATAAATACCGGGAAAATGTCAGCCTTTACATACATAAGTAACCTGAAAGGAAATATCCAAAAGAATACACAAAAATTACAGAAGTATAAACACAGAATCTTAAACAAAAGACTAATTAATTTTAAATCTGAATCGTTCACCTCCCTCAAAACTTTCATTTCTGCAGGTTCAAAGGAATGGGAGGAGGTGGGGAGCCAAAAGAAATTAGAAAATTATATGGAGGAGGGATTTGGGCCCGAAGCTTTTGAGGAATGCAAACATTCAACAACTCTGTTCCAGGAGCGAGTCTGAGCCCAACGCACAAACCAGCCAGTGTTCCTGAACCTCCAAGCCTGTTGTCACACAACCCCGCACAAAAGACAGGCAATACCAAACCCGGACCAGCGACACACGTACACTGACCTCCCTTAATAGTTCCTCGATCACTGAGCTCCCAAATTATTCCAGAACCCCGCGCCAAACGCCACGTTCATTAACAAACACCCCCCCGCCAGTTGTCAATCACCTACAAGGAGAGTGACCCGCGAAGACTCTAAACCCTGACTTCAGGACTCTCGGTAGTTCATCTGTTCAGACCTTCAACCACTGACCACCAGAACCCCCCATGATTGACCCCAAAGACATCTCGAGTACATACAGTACCGACTCCTCCGTGCTCACCTCCAAAAAACACACCCGCCCCTGCGCTACCTTCACAGACTCAAGGGACCAACAACTGACCCAGAGACCGTTAGGCCGCCCCTCTCCTCCCCAACCCTTCTCTACAGACTGACCCACACGCGGAATTGAGTCTCTCCTGAGTCTGCAGCGACCTCTTCAGGGCCCAACTTATTTCCCTAAACTTCCTTCGCTCTAGTCCCCTCACCCAGACTCTTCTCCCGAGAACACCTGACGAGGGTCAGCGGCGTTTCTGGCGCGTTTCTATGGAGAACGGAATAGGGGTTTCCGGCGCTTATTTATGAGGTCATATGTCCGCGCGGCCGTCGCCTTGACGCCCTGGAGGCCGCCATCTTTGCACACCTGACGTACTGAAGGCACGGCGGCTGCGTTTGTGCGGTGACAGGACGGTGAGTGCCGCCGAAACCTTCGCGCTTCCTGGCCCCTCAGCTCTTACGGGAAAATGGAGAGATGTTCAGAGGCTCGAGTTCACGCAAGGCAGACATGACATGGGGGTCATCTTTGAAGGGGCAGGGCTCCTCGTTGTAGGGGACGGGGAAGGGCGCCAGGTTTTCAAAGGCCGGAGCCCTTTCCCATCTAAGGGCCGCGGCTCGGTGGGAAATAAAGTAACTTCCGGGCTCCGCAGTCTCGATTCTCATTGAGAAGAGGCTCAGAGCTGCGTCAAAATTTACGCAGGCTTGACAAGAAAGCAGGCGGCGCTGTGGCCGGGGAGGGTTGCGCCCGGGGCAGGTGCGCGTTGGCTCGGACGGACTTCGGTGTCCGGGTGGCGGAGCCCGAGCTGCCTGGGAGCTGAGCAAGGGTGCTTCCTTCGGGAGACCACGGTTTGGAAAAGTGAGATGGTGAGGGGTGTTCGGCGGTCGCAAAGAAAGCTGAAGCCACGGACGTTGAGCCTGTTGCCAGCCTCATCCCAACCATGCCACTTACCCATCCTGGTCAGCCGCTTGTCACTGAAGACGTATTCATGAAATGAGTCGTGTGTGTACTCTTTTTTTCTGGCTTCTTTCACACAGCATAATTGCCTTTGGGCTGTTTCCAGTGTTTTGGATATTGCAACTGGAAATCTTACGAACTTTCATGTGTAGAAAATGAAATGACCACAAAGAACTGATTTACCACAGTCCTGTGCGTCTTCATCACCAAGCCGTCTTTGCCAGCCATTTGCAGGCCTACTACCCATTTCTAGCCCTGCTCCAGCTCATATTCTCCCCACTCCCCCAACCCCAATACTGAGCTTAAAGATCTCGAGAACACAGGCTGGGGCACAGATGCCAGGTTAACCTGTTTGCCCCCACTATGTTCAACCCCGTAGGCCATCATCATTTTCAGAAGGCACCTGATAAAGTCATGTAACCACAGGTCAAAGCACGAAGTCAGTTCTTTATAATTACTATGCTGGCCCAGCCTCCTACCTGATACTAAGTCTCTACTACCTCGTTTTCATAAGGCAGGCAAGGTGATCCTATACAAATCAAATACAAAATACAAATCAATCATGAAAATTTTCCTGTTCTGAATTATCTAATGACTGCATTACAGAATCAAATCTCAAGTGTTGAGATAACCAAATTTAGGTGCTTAAAAATATATGCTGGATTGAATTTCCCTGATAATCCAGAGGTTTGTTGTGGAAAGGTAAGACAGCTACTGCATAGCAAATATCCATTTCTTCTTCTCTAATCAGGATTCAAGGTTTTTTAGCAAGATACCTTTATTGGATCAAGAGAAAGGCTCTGGGTAGATGAGAGAGGACAAGAGCCCCAGTCACAAGAGGAAGGACTAGAAAAGGAAGATCACAGGTGCAATTGAGCAGGTCACAGAAGAAATGGGAACTATGGAATTATGGCAACTTTCAGAGGTGATAGGGTTGTGAACAATGTAAGGGTTCTTCTCCAATACACCCAAGAGGAATCTTACCTCCTTTCATATTCCAGCTTTCTTCCATCTTACACCAAGGTTCTCATGCCTTTTGACTTATCCGGGGCATCCCATTTCTCTTCTGCTCTCCCCCTTTTATAGGCGACATTTATTCTAATGCACATGTACACAAAGCATTTTTTGAACAATCCCATTCTTTTAGAACTGCCTTACAATTACTCATTCTTTGCAATAATAGAACTTTTTCTTTATAGTCCATTCATCTTCCAAGTCAATATATAATTATCTTTTCTATATCACAAAGGATATGTGACTCTATAAAGCAGCACCATGCAACATACTGTTCGGTGACAATGAAATGTTCTAATCCGTACTGTCCAACATGGTGGTCACTAGCCACAAAAAAATATTGAACTTTTGAAATGTGAACTCTTGATACTGATGAAGTATTTTTAATTTTAATTGATTTACATTTAAATAGCTACATGTAGCTAATGGCTACTGAAGTTAGTGCAAAACTATCAAGGAATGTATAATCAATGTGGGGTGGTAAGACGTGGGCATTTTTTTAAAAGTATTTGTATCCTGGATTATTTATACATCTTTTTTCTTCCCGTTTTTATTTAAATTCCAGTTAGTTAACATACAGTATTAGTTTCAGATGTCAAATTTAGTGATTCATCAGCTATATACAACACCCAGTGCTCATCATAATAAATGCATTCCTTAATACCTATCATCTATTTATAAACCCACCTAGCCCCCCCCACCTCCCCTCCAGTAACCATCAGTTTGTTCTTTTTAGTTAAGAGTCAGTTTGCCTCTCTGCCCCCACTCCATATTCATGTTTTGTTTCCTAAATTCCACGAGTGAAATCATATGGTAGTTCTCTTTCTCTGAGTTATTTTGCTTAGCATAATACTCTCTAGCTCCATCCACGTGTTGCAAATGGCAAGATTTCATTCTTTTTTATGGCTGAGGAATATGCCAGTGTGTGTGTATCACATCTTCTTTATCCATTCATCAGTCAATTATTTATACATTATTAATAGGAGTGTTTCCCTGTCTCCCATTATACCCTCCTTGGGGAAAGATGTTTTTAGGATCTAACTCCACATCATTCTAAATCCAAACCCCATGATCCAGTTAGTCCATGTCCATTTCACCTAATGTAGAGTTTACATACCCCGAGTATGTTAGATGGAGTAATTCAGCTAACACTCATTCCAGGAGGGCAAAGACATTCTGTTTTGTTCACCCCTGTGTCCTTAGCTGATAGATAATACCAGGTCCAAAGGAGGTATTTCACAAATACTCACTGAATGAACAGATATTCAATGTAAGGCTGTTTCTCAGGTGACTTTGCATAATAGAAAGTCTTGAGAATCTGTGAAAGGGGTGCCACTTTTCAATTAATTCTCCACACTATCCTAGGGAAACTGAACAGATACATGTGCCCCAAACTCCACTAGTCAAATACTGCTTTTTCCTACTAAGCAACTCTATATTATAAAGATTTTCAGTCCTAGCAACATCCACATACCAATTATCTTATTTGTCATCACAGTAGTGTTTTGCTTCACTTATGATCTCAGACATTCCAGATTAGTTGACAAAAGTGAGCAATCAAGGTAGATGGAAGCTGAGATTAATAACATCAGACTATGTCTCTGTATCAACACATAAACATACATAACAGGATGAAATTTGTCATGCTTTCCCAGTCTCTGCATTCGTATTTCTCTCAAAATATACTTAGCTATATAATGACCTGGAATTTTTTGTTCACTGTTTTTCTACCTCAAATATATCTAAGTTTCCTTCCCATAGGTTTTTTAGACATAAAATGTGACCTAATTGACCAGTGACGGCACCTTCACATTCACTGCAGTTATAAGGTATTTATTCCCCTGTGCAAATTTTCTGCTATCTCTTGAGGGTGCACATCTAGCAAGAGTTTGTTCCTGAAAGGACTGTGTTCCTATTTGCTAAGACTCCACTAATACTTAATGATGTCTGAGGGGTGACAGAAGGCATTTGCAGTGACCAAATTGATAGTGTTTCACTTACACGTAAGAAGCTGTAACTTTCTGTGGAAGGGTTTTCCACGTTTATGAATCTACATATTTCTCCTTTGTGTATGTTTCTTATGTTTAATAAGGCAAGACTTGTAGGAAAAAGCTTTCCCACACCCAGTGTATTCACAGGATCTCTTTCCTGTATGAGTTCTTTAATGACAATGAGCTGTTGTTTCATGATGAAGGTTTTCCCACATTCACTACATTTATGAGGTTTCTCTCCTGTGTGCGTTTTCTGATGTTTAATGAGACCTGATTTCTGAGGACAGGATTTTTCAGTCACTACATAGAAAGGACGTCTTGTTTGTATGAACTCCCTGATGTCACATGGGACTTATCTTCTGATTGAAGCCTTGTCCACATTCACTACATATATAAGGTTTCTTGCCAGTATGAGTTCACCAATGTACAATGAAACTAATCTGGGTGAAGCCCTTTCCACAATCATTACACATACAGTGTTTCTCTCAGGTATGAGTTTTCTGACGTAAAATAAGATGTCATTTAATGAGAAAGGCTTTGCCACATTTAGTGCATCAACGGGGGTTTTCTCCTCTTTCATTTCTCTCATGTATAATGACTGACTTCCTATAACAGGCTTTGCCACATTCACCTACATAAGGTTTCTCTCGTGTATGAATTTTCTGGTGCTCAGTGAGTCTAGACTTTGTGGTATGTGCCTTCCCATATGTACTACAGAAACATGGAGTTTCTCTCCCCAGTGAATTCTCTCATCTTCAGTGAGCTGAGACTTCCTGATGAGGGATTCACCACATTCACTGTATATGTACATTTCTCCATTTTGTGAGTTCTCTGATGCTTAACAAATGGGAGCCTTAGTGCTGATGGGTTTTCCAATTTCAGGCATTTTAGTTTGAATTTCTCATATTTTGTAAGGAGAAAGGATTTCCCATCTCCATCATGCACACGGGGTTCTTTATTTCACAGTTTCTGTTTTAACTGACTGAATTTAAATTTGATGTCAGAGTTTTTCCATGACTTTGCCTTAAAGGAAAATGATGTTGGTCCAGATGAACAATATTTTCAAAGACATTATGTTCACACATTGTTCCATATTTGGTTGTCTTTAGAAATCTCTGGGTATGCAAGTATCACTGCAGATGATCATCAATTTCGACTTCTAGGAAAGAAGAGAACAATGAATGCCCACGTGTGGACTGGCCAATCTTTAGTGTTGACTGCATGATTTCAGGATAAGAGAATCTTTAATAATGTTCCTTATTTCTTGAACACTAGTAAAAACACAATACA